CAGGCACCGGGTTTTACTTACCATGTGCATGTTACGGTTCAATCTTCACTACTGCCTTGTCCGTAGAGTTTTGCAATCGTTTTTTTCTCTCAACGATTTGTGCACTTTACTCTCAAGGTCAATCTGGAAGCTTTTCATGCCACAGAACTTATTGTCTATCAACATAGACAGGACATCTTATTTTAAATAGACTTTTGGATTGAAAGGCGATTGCTCATTTACGTTCCGTTTATATATTTAATCGCATACAACTCTTTTTCCCTGTCTTTCAGTGTGGAACTGGGAAAAGTGTTGGCAAAGAAAATTCAGCCGGAATTGAAGGCTCCAGGCGCGGTGACTACTCACGATTCATCCACTAACGGCCTGATCAATTATATCAAAGAGGAACGCAAATGAACACAATCTTCTAGTTCGAATCATCTGTTGACTGCAGCAGATTATGGTTCCAGCCTTCAGTCTAGTCATCTTTGTGTGTCTGGCACTTTATCTTAGCATTCTGTTAATTTGTACCGTACATTAACATCCCCTTCTCTCGGTCACTGTCGGTTGTACTCACTCCAAACTATTCCCTTCATTACAATAACTTGCAATGAAGTATTTCGTAATCTTTTAAGGCTAATCCTTTTCGTTAATCTCGTGAGCGCAAGTTGTGAGTGCGCATTTCAATCTCATTTCCGGTTCTTCAGTTTGGGGACGCCCGCTTAATTCTCCCCAAAAGTGCTTCCAAACTTATCTATGCTGATACTGTGCTGTGGTCTAGCATCTAGCCGCAATTATGTTCCCTTTCAATATGATGTCTTTTTCGATTCAATTACCTAAGCGTTAAGCGCACTGAAATCATTTTGGATTTCGTTGCTCATTGGGATGCGTGGTTGTCGCGGGGCTGGTTACGATGCGCACAATTTCATTAGTTACGCTTTCATTTTTCACTAAAATTCATCAGGTCCCTCGAGACTAAGGGGACTAACCTAGTCCAATACTCACTTTTTCGAATTCACGTGATTTTAACGCAATTCGTCAATTACAAAATGAATTCCAGTATACCTTTGGAGGCGGAAAAAATATTATTCTGGAAGTGATATTGTGACTGGTATCTTTCTAAACACCCTTTCGGTTCCAACATGGCCATGTAACACCCCTGCTGACGAGTGATAACCAATGGTTAGACTCGCTGACAAGCTTCATCTGTCTTTATCAAACTCAGGGCTATCAGCATGTATTTCTGTTTAGTTTCTACTATAACGTGATAATTCCAGCAGTCTTCAAATCGTGCTTATCTAGAATGTCCTCTGTTTTATAATCTTCAAACTGCACCGGAGTATGACATGGTCGAGTTGTGTGCCCTCACTGTTCACAATCCTGTCTCACTACCAGATTTTTTCCAGAGGTCGTAAGCAACGAAGCTGATTTCCTCTGTCTCTAACCATCAGCTTATTCAATACCAAAGCAAAGTTTAAGCCACCCAACTTTGGTGGTAGGCAGCTTTGCTATCGCCCGGTTTTGTACCACGCCTAACCTAGTGCGGGGCCTTGTGTGGTTAGTCACTCCAACTCCTGGGACTTAGGTTGCCGGCTACCATCACTGAACAACAGGTCTTCGTGACTGTGGGATCCACCTCGACTGCTGTTCATCACACACTGGTGTGTAATGAAAAAAAGAAAACAGTAGTATTCTTCGAATGCGATCTTCACTGAGCTGCAGGAAAACCTTTGAGAACACCTTGGAAGTCAGTGTCTTCAGTTCAATCACTTAAACTGAATAGTCTGTCGGAGCTACCTAGTTTTCCAGTTCATGACTCGGGTGAAAGCGAATAGTCTTATCATGCGGATCAAGATAAAGGAGGCAATATGAATTCTCTTCTGATGCCAGATTTGCACACCCACTTTACTCGACTATTTCCGTGTACTGATGTTCGGTAACGTTTGAGTGGTCTGTTAAAAGGAACCGCATGGATTTTGATTACGATAAAAGCAAAGGCAAAGATTGATGAACCTGGGGAGCAAGTCGATCCATAGACAGCATGATTCCCGAGGTTGACGAATACCAAATTGTTGGTATTCCGGATCGCTAACTCATTGGTGGGAGAAATGTCGGTAATGGTGCGATCAGCGGCAAACTGCTTCATTCATTTCTGGTGGCTAAGACATTCAGTCCATTCTGGACCTGCTCACTAGGCATGAGTCGGGTCAGTCCGTGTTCCTGCATACTCAAATACCAGCTGTTCATATCTAACGGCAGCGACGGATCACGAAGTGTTCTGGTAATGTCGGAGGTTTGTGCGTCCAGTCTTCCACGTTGGAATTTAATGGTAACGGACTCTTGTGCACAAAGCCACATCAACTCTGCTCAAACAGTGCAGTGGAAAATTCGGTGAGGATGGTGGAAAGCGCTATTGTGTCAGCAGACCAGAAGACTGTCGGATTTGGAATTAATGTTGAAAACTTCCCAGTGTAGTACTGGAATGTGGAGTACACCACCGACCCAGAAAGCCCCACCAAATTGTCCAAGTCGTGAAGGTTGCGATCCTCTATGCAGTGCACTGATTCGATGATAGGTGTCTCAATTCATCGGCTCCATACCTACCAAATCCATTTCTGGGCGTCTGCCAATCCATGTTTGAATTCCACAGGCAAGCGCCATGAAATCTCAGCATCACCAATTCACATGGTCCAATGTCCCTGAAACACTCGTTCAAGAGAATAATCCGTTAGCATTACGAAGAATAAACGGGAGAGCAATTCAAATCTACTAAGCTATTTTCTGCAGGGAGATTTGTGGTAATTGAACCCTCCGAGGTGACGTCAGCTACGCGTTGCAGTTTCAGAACGATGGATCAAACGCCATGCAGTTCGAACAGGAGTCTTGTGACTCGGAGAACGCGAACGGTGATTGGTTGATGCCTTTTTAACCAATATTTCAATTTATCCAATTGATTTCTTTCAACGATTGAATCGCTACCTCAGTGGTCTTTAACCTGCTTGTGCCTGACGGTAGACGTTGGCAGACGGCTACTAGGTCGATCTCGTGACTTGGCGGAGATGATGCTTCCCGGTCCGTGATTACTGTTCATTTCAATTAGTACACCCCAGCAGCCTGCTGGCTTGGCAATGGAAACCAATCTACCTAGAGAGTATGTGACCCATGCGATGTACCGAGTAACCTTGGGCAAAAATCCTAATTGGAGTCAATCAGCGAGACACCCACTGACGTATGATCCCCGAGATCCAACCGACTCAGAAGGAATACAGGCTTTCAGATGTGGTTACGTATTTAGCTCAACTCAAAGGCAATTTAGACTACGAACTCATTTGCCCATACAATTTTCGGTTTGGACATTGGTGACTGCAACTTAGATCCGAAGTCAAAAAATCAAGGGAAGATGTTTGAGACGGGTAGTGCGATAGGAAACCTTGATGCAAAAGATGGAAATTCGAACTTCTTAAAAAATGAATACAATATAAGGGAAGTAGTCTGTTTTTATAGAAGAATGCGCTTTTACACTATTCAATTAAAAAGAGCCTGTCAATTCTAGTTGAGTTCTCTTTGCGCATAAACGTGCTTACGCATGACCTAACGGGGCCTTATGTGATTCGCTGCTCAAAGTCCCGGGGCTTAGCATCACTGAACAGCAAGTCTTCGCGATTGTGGTGGTTGCCCCGCTTGCTGCTCATCACACAAAGATGTGCATCCAAAACTTGCCAATCACCCCAATTGTTTTCACATTGAAATATGCTGATGACATAGTAGTTGGTGGTACATCTCACAACAACAACCCCTCAATCAGCCATACGTTCCATTTCTGAATCGTCCGATGGTGGTAACCTATCTTTAAACCCGAACAAATGCATTGGAGTTTTGTTTATCATTATCCGTAGGCCATCAACACTGGATGATCTGTTCCCAACATCTTAATCAATAACTCACAAGTTGAAAGGTCACAGCTGTGGTGATTGTTCATGAACTCTGAATTCCTTTGTTCTATTGAACACGATATCCTTATGCATTCTAAATTCCCGCTCATTACAGTTCGATTTCGTTGTTGAGTTCTGTGTTCTGATGTTAGTCCGAGTTCTCGTTCTGGGTTGGACTATTACTGCGCGGATTTCGATACGTATACGAATTACTGGTCCGTATGCCACCCACAATAACAACACCTCAAATATCTTGGATGTTTCCTGTCTTCTGACCTCAAGTGGTCCTATCACGTAGAATACACATTTCTTAAAGTCAGAAAGTTGACCTTTTATATTGCACGCCTTCGGCAGCTGAGGGTGTCATTGTACATAATTTTTAAGATTTATTTTCTTGTACGTATTATGCCATTGGACCTACTGCTCTCCCGTTATCTTTCGAGGTCTGCTGTCTAAGGATTTCATATTATTTGAACGCTCTCTGAAAAGCATCTCTAGATATGGAGATGTATCTTATGAAGAGCTGGTTGATTCCATTGTCAACCAACTCCTTAAGGCGTGTGGCCGTCTGTGTGACTCTGTCTTGTCCGATGAATTACGTCCTTTACACTCAGTCCTATCTCGCTCCATTTAAACTTCTGTCACCCGTAATAGATTCAAGCCTTTATATACTCGAACCACTGGCTTTCACAACTCCGTTGTACCTTACCTTTCAGGTTCGTTGGTTTCCAGGAGACGAATATCAAACTAAGTTATACACAGTCCAATGTGAATTTTCAGGCTGAAATTTTCTTCATTTTTTACGCGTTCTCGGTGTCCTGTTCTTTATCATCTAAGTAATGACTTGTCATATTTTTGAACTCCTTTTTAATAGCGTATATGCCAAAGCAAAAGTGATATTCTTTTCACTGGAAATTCTGCCCACATCGGATGAAGAAAGTGCACTCTTGACTTGACTTGTAATAAAAACGCTAAAAACGGTGTCCACACGGTTAGATCTAGCTCGCACTTTTCCTAAGTACAATATAGAGAGGATGACGTGCTCTTTACGCCTTTTCCCTCTGGTCTCCGATTCAGGACAAGTAAGCGCCTTACACATCTCAAAGGGTGAATGTTCAACAGTTGTGGTGGCAGACGGGATTAAATCGTTGACTCTAGTGTGCACGGTCATCCGATGTTGTAGCCAGTTCTGCCACAGATTGACGCAATACAGCACCCATGCTTCTGGAGCCTAATGGAGTTCGCCTCCCCTCCCAAGTTGTACATCATTGGGCACTTAAACAAAGTACGTATTCGTGACTATGGCGTTCACGGTCTATGACACCAGGAAGTGGTTAAAAATTGTACCGCAAATCATTTGAAAGAATGAGAAAGCTGGTTATCCTATCGTGAAAGTTTGTGCTCCGTTTGTTTCGAATCGTATTGTTCAGTAGTAATTCGAAACCTCTGAAATGTAGGTGGCTGATTCAATTTATGTCACCACCG